GAAGGGTAGTAGCATTCATAACAGACCTTTGTTCATCTCACAAGAAAATTTGATAAAGATTCTATCATATAGAAGAGAAAACACACAAGATGATTGCTAAAGGCAATTTTGTAACAAATTGAAAATATTCTTGATTTTCACTTGATAAGTTAATCTAGAAAGAAATAAAAAGAAAGCCCATTTTTACATGTAACTAATATTAAAGCTTTTATTATGCCTGCTGTTTAATAGAGTTAACCAAATATATGGTATAATGATTCTAATATGCTGGTTGCGTTGACTCTCTACTCTCCTCATAGGACAGTATTGATATCTATGATTAACCTAAACCATCCAGAGCAAAATCCAGCATTCTGTCCTCAAGCAAAACAATAAATAAAACCTTTTTTTTAAAGAAAAGTTGGAATTGGAAACCGTCTGAAAGGTTAATATCTTGAACATATTTTTCTAAGTCCAGTCTAAGTGTTTCTAGCTCAGTATTTCATCACCATGTCCAACAAGAGTAAAATGATACAGTATTATTTGTTACATATGTACTTTGAAGTATGTATCAACCTGTATCATATGATGAGTCATAATTATGTAGCAAACAAATCATAAGAGCACATTAATGAGAAAATGATTTCTCTGTTTATTCAAAATGTTGCAATATTCAGATGCCTGGTAGTTATTTTACTGGATCAAGAGATAAATTAGTTACAGTAGCATGGATACCTCATAAAACAAAACAGAACTTTAAAATATAGACTTTGATTTCAGTAGCTTATTTTTTCTTTCCAATAGATAAAACTCTTACTTCATAATGAAACACAGATCTGTGTTTCAAGTGTAAATTGATCATAGGGAATTGCAAGATGGCATTATCTGCCATCATATATGTTTATGCTGTATTACCAAGTATCTATTTATTACTTGTGATTCCATCTTTGTTATTAAGAATGTGTTAATAACCTAATTGCAAGATAATCAGTGTTTGCACTCTTAAAATGACCAGGAAACATTATTTCACTTCATAGGCAGCAAGAAAACTAATATTTAGCGTGATTAAAAGGATACTGGTTAATTGTTAATGTCACTAGTGAAGTTATCTGTTAATTTTAACACTTCAAGCCCATACTGCACCTCAACACGCGTGCCCAAGGGGCTTCCTTCCGTGCTTCCCCTAGGGCACAAGAAGCTCTGGGGAAGAGCATCTGAATTACATCTTAAAAAACAAGTCTGTCTGAAGCGTATGCATTAGAGGCTCTAGGTTTCTGGAATCGTAGATATGGAAGCATCTCAATTTTTTAAGCTGTAAGTTTTCAGCTCTTCTAGTTGCTGAAGAAAACTAAACATGTTGGGAGTAGAGCTAATGCAGTAGTATCTATTCTGGCTTATGCAATCCTCTGAGAAACTCAAGCTCTCTCCCCACTCCACCAACTCAATACAGTGTCAACCCTCTGCTTAAAGTGCATATCAGACCATTATGCCTCAACACCAAGCTCAGCAGCAGGGAACATGAGTACAGGGTCCTGCCCATGGCTCTCAATGCCCTCAGCACTAGTCAGGAAGAGGAAGGATGAGGATAGGTGAGCTGACCACACAAGAATAAGCAGCAAGGGCACAGGACCATAAAGCTGGCCTGCTAAGCAGCTCTAGGACACATACTGTGGTCTTATGATGGACTTAATTCAGCCCTATATTGAAGAATACAAATCTACTGTCTTGACACAAACTCCTTTATTTATATTCACTCAGTATGTTTGCATTTCTTCTAATTATGCTCTAGCTGGGGTTACTGATGGTCAATTCACGTTGTTTACACACACTCTGGTAATTTTAGTTGCCCTGGTATCTGCCCAAGTCAGAGTCTTTCCTATCTGCTATCACTGTTTAAAAGAGATTAAGTTATACTTGCAAATGCAAGGAAGTAAGGGTATCCAGTGGGTGCTGCTGAGACTTGCTCCGCAACACCTGCCATACAGGCTCAAAATGAGACACACAGGAAAAAAGGGAGAGGAAAAACTCTCAGCCAACTTTTAATTAACTCCAAAAGCTGAAGAGCTTCAAAGTAACTGTGCTGTTGTGCTTGGCCTCTTTTCCTATACCATTCTCATGTCCAGAGATGCTGGGTAACTTCAAACCCTGTTTTATTTTCTACATTTCACTGAGAACATGCATTGTTACTGGGTGTGGCTGAATTGCAAATAAAATGGGAATCACTTCCACTTCTGCTCTACATCTAAGTGCTGCAATAGTGGGGTTTATGGTGTTGGCTCAAGGTGTGCCAGTAGTTTCTTTGTAAACACCTGTGTCCCAAGGTTTTTAATTTGGCTGTAAACGTAAATTTGGAAAAGAGGGATCAGAAGTATAGTTGCCTGTGCTTTTCACGCTGTTGCTGGGTGCTCTGAAATTGCAGATTTAAAGTAAAGCAAAAGAAGTGTTCTGAATTTTGGAAATTTGTAAAAACAACAAATACTTTTATTTCTGTTTTCATTTCCAAGGTGTTCCAACATGGGATAGTGCCACAGAAAGGCGCTGCACTGATAAGTCATCTCTGTTGCCTTGGAGTCAATTAGGTAAGTCCAAATTGACATAAAGCATGAGGGTCTCCCATTGATATGTGCTGTATATCCCATGTAACCACATCATAACTCAGTATTTCGGAACACTAGTGGGTGATTCATAATA